CCCCCCCTACCCCCTCCTCGTCACCAGCCAAATCAGACCAATTGTTATTTTTTTAAGGGAAAAGGTGGAACCCGTCCACTCCTTGTTGCTCCCACACTGCTCTCTGGTGCCCCCCCCCCCATCTCCCCCCCTTGCCCGCCTCCCTGGCCCACCCGCCCCACGCCTCCCCCCGCCCCCCACTCGTCACCAGTTAGGTTTTTAAGGGAGCCTAAAAAGTCTAACCAGTGCACTCCTTGTTGCTCCCACACTGCTCTCTGGTGCCCCCCCCCCCCATCTCCCCTTGCCCTCCAGCCCACCCTAGTGCCCAGGTCCAAAAGCATCCCTGCCTTCCCTTTCTTNNNNAGGGTATTCGCAGCACAGTCAGTCCCCTAATGGGTGGAACCCCCTTCGTTGCTTCCGCACTGCCCTCAAATCTTTCCCAGGAACATGCCAGCCTCAAGAAAATGCTCTGGGACCGGCAAAAAGCACTCTTTGCCTGAAGCACCTCCAGTGCCGTCAGACGTCGCCGCCCCCTTTTCTTGGGGGTCGGCGGCACGGCGTCAGCCCTTAAATATAAAATACTATACCCAAAAGGAGGATATAATCTTACTCTATATTGGGTACCACAATATCCCCAAACAAAATACTACCCAAGTGTGATGAGAGTTTAGGGCTTAAGAAACCCACCAATGGCTTCAAAGCAGCCCCGAGCAGTCAGTATCGATTAAAACAGGGGACCCTATATGGGCCCCAGAGATGCGTAGGGGTTGCAGCAGGGGTTTATGGGAGGTTCGGTTCGTGACTCCTGCCGCTAGTACGAGTTCAAACTAGCAGGCGTACTGCTAAAAAATACTCGAGCTCCCGCTAGGATTATGTCTTTAAACACAGCAAAATGGCAACTGCTTTCCATTGCCGATTCCTGCTAGTGGGGATAATAAGCTGGTGTTACCAACCGTTACCAATAACTCTACTTGCTAATTGTCGATGGCAAACTAATTGCAAGGTTCATGTTTCACCTGTCGTATGTTGTATTGGGCACGAAAAATGAGACCTACTTCCTCTTCAGTCCAAGAACTAGCTTGAGTCATCTTGCATCACGAAATCCATCTGCATCAGTCTGCATCAACTCCCCTATAGTTTGGGAGATACCTGGGCTCTTTAGCTCCCCTTATTATATTGATATAGACTATCCCTAGCTCCTTAGCTCCCTCTAAAAGTAGTGGTAGTCAATGTATGATGCCCAGGGCCCAAGACGCTGTTGAAGTACAGGATGCGGCTGATTACAGTAGACGCTCAGGGGAAGGGCGAGAAATCCATATCAGGGACTACGGTCCCGGAGCCGTCCCGCAGCCAGCTCTGAAGTAAGAGCATACTTGATGTACAGTTGAAGGATTGAGTCACGAAACTCCTTTTCCCGGGTCGCATCACAGCTTTGCGCAGCTTTGCTTGAGTCGTGCGATCACACGTTCTTCTGGGCAACACCTCCGTCCACGGAGGCTAGAACCTGCTCAAGCAAGCTCAGACCAATCTGGGCAGGGTTCCACAACTTCGGGGGTCGCTGGGGGGTATATAGGGGGATAGAATGTGGCTATATTGAAATGATGGAAAAGAAAAGGGCAACTACTACTTAGGGTTGAGGGTTTAAGGTAGCCCTTTTTGGCTTGATTGGTTAGGGTATGTGGGTCTCCCGATGTAAGGAAACCAAGCGATTGAGCGATCCTCAGTCAAGGACCTTTGCACCATTTTGTCAGACTCTAGACGTCGAGTGGTCTTGCTGGTTTCGTTTGAAAGCAGGCAAGACTTGTCCTAGGAAGGCCTGTGTTTGCCAAGCGCGCACAAAGGCTCCACCAAACTTGTCGTCACACAATGCCTGAGCTGCAGTCTTGACTCCTAATACCAGCCTTCATAACCCAGTAGTACTCCCCTTTATCATTCCCTGTATAATTGACTTCCTTTGAGGAGTTGGACTCTAGCTCACCTGACTTGGCTTCGCCAAGTCAGGCCTCCCTGCCCTGCTCACTGCGGATGCTTCTGCGGGTCAAGATCTAATTGCAGCTTCATATCACGTAGATTGTGCTCTGAGGTGTAAAGCCTTGCTCCAAAGAAATGGCCCCGAGATCCTGGATCTTCCCGGTATGAGGAATACTTCAGCCGCTCTTTGGCTTGCAACAACTCTTGAATGCCATGTCCTCCTATATAGTTGTCTTGCACGCCCAGCCACCTCAGAATGCAGCCCTTTGTGAGATTGCGGGCCAAAGCTTGCGCTCCAGGATCTCCGATGTTGTTGCTCTGAAGGTCCAGATGGTCAAGGTTCCAGTGCTGCAACGAATTTGCTATTGCTTCTGCCCCAAGATCCCCAATGCCATTGCCTCGCAAGCTAAGCTGTCGAAGGTTGTGATCATTATGCTGGATCAAGGTCCTTGCAATTTCTTGGGCACCCAAACTGCGCAGCTTGTTCTCATCCAAGATCAAGTGCAGGACTGGCAGTTTCCAGAGCTCTGCATCGCAGAGCCCCCTTTTGATTCCATCATAGTCAGCACAGTGGCTGAGATCAAGGACGTGAAAATTGGTCTGACTTTGAATTAACCCATCAATGATAGCGCGGAGCCCGTCAGGTCCAAAGGAGTTGTCTTGCAAACAAAGACTTGTAGTGCTGTGGACAGGAAACTCAACGCGTCCCCTTTGGATCAGAATCCCAAGGATTCGCCCATGAACATCACGCAGACAACATTCACGAAAGTGCAGCTTACCTTTTATGCCACAGATTAAATACTTGATCCAAATCTGAGCTGCTTCTAGCATTGCTCTGTCCTCCTCTTCAGAACGTTCTGAGTCATCCTCAGGCAGCAGCTGCTGCCACGGAGGGCAAGAGCGCAACACTCGACGTAGAACGTGCAAATCTGCCCAAAGCAGGCAGTCCCGAGCAATGTGCTTTGCCAACGGCCAATTCTCGTCCTCAATTGCCCGCGCCAAGCGCTGAGCCACATGCTCTATCACGATTCTGGACATCAAAGTTGGGTAGAATGCAATCCTGCCCAGCAAGATCTGCGCCAACGGCAGCGCCAAGTTCATAATCGCAACCGGGAGAGACCCAGCCTCCAGCAGCAAGTAGATTAGGGCCATAGCTGCCTGAGGACCATTTTCGAGCATCAACATCCGTCTCTTGCTGGGAGTAATCTGCTTGAACAAGATGGGAAGCCATCGAGCTGCAAGTGGCAACTTGGTCAAACGCAAGTCTTCTTGTTCTCTGACCTGGGCTTCCTTGCCCTTGCCTTCGCCCTGCGCAGTCTCTTGCCTGGGGTGCGTTGGGGCAAGGAGCACCGCCAAATGACACAGACAAAGTTGCTCGCGTTCATCTGGGAAAACAAGAATCACCAGCAAGTGCATCCCGACCATGTAGCAAAGCGATACTCCACCCAAGATCTGCACGACCAATTTGTCTGACTCAAAGCAGAGCACGCTGAAGATTACATCCTCTCAGCTGCTAGCTGCGGGAGAAACTCCCTTAAAACCCCTAGACTAATGGTCCTCCCTCCAACAGGATGACTGACAACTATAGGCAAAGTAGCAAGGAGCTTGAAGGCATAAACTGTTCGTCTAAGTAATGCTGCAGGCAACATCTCATCTCTTCCTGAGACTCGGAAGGCGGTCCATGAGAGGGCTAAGGGCAACAACCTACAATCTTCAGCTCAAGCTGATCTTCAGCTTGTCTGGCGCGGTTGGTCAGGATTGGTTGCGTCACCAGCCCTAAACCCCAAGGACGCTGAACATGTTTAACGTCAGTCCTTTTGGGTGTCGTACGGCTCAGAAAGAAATGGCAGCATGGCGGAAATGGTGGCCTCCGCAAAGGTCCCCAACGCCGTACTTTCTGCCTGAGGGCAAGGTTGCAGCAGCGATGACAGCCTGCAGTAGGAGAGATAGGCCGCTCAGTGAGAACAGCACAGCATTCCCCGCTTTCGCGGCTTAACTGACCAGAGCCGAGGCTGGCCATGCTGAGGCAAAGTTGAGAAAGAACACGGTAGTGATGAGATGTGAGGACCTTCCTCCTTCTTGTTCCGACGCACAAGTTGCTGAGTCCAACAAGTCCTACTCGTGCGCAGAAAGAAATGGCCCGACATGTCAAGGAAGCCAAAACCAGAACAGCGTTCCCCACCACTAAGATGACGGCAGACACCACAGCCAGCGGCAGCAATGCTAGCACCACTGGCAGAACCACCACCACATCCCACACCACAATGATCAAGCATGGGCATTTTGAGACCGCTGCATGAAGTCCCTCTGCTGCAAGGAATGGCGCACTGACTGCCGTAAAGCCAAGGCCTTTGCAGCATTTGGCAAAATCTGAACCTATGCTTTGTAGCGCAGCTGGAAAGCACTCCAACATCTTCCGCATGCTGCACTGTTGCAACCGTTGGATGGCTCCAGGGAGGAGCAACAAGATGCCCGTGCCTGCAATGATGACACGGAAGTAAATGGCCAGCAGCAGCAGGAGGAAGAATTGTTCTCGCGTCATTCCGCTGGGGATCGCATCAAAGGGTTCCATGGCTGACAGTGGCCACATTTTTGCGGCTAACATACAGCTTCCTGATGCCAAACCTGTAGCGGTCTGCAAGTTGAGAAACGAAGGGAGTCCTTAAACACGAAAGCATGTTTGTTGCGATGTAGATGTGCAGGGTACTTGCCAAAAATACAAGGTGGGAAAGCAGCAAGACAGAGGCTGTCTCTCTCTCTCTCTCTCCCTCTCTCTCTCTCTCTCTCTCTCTCTCTCTCGGTATTTCTTTCATGTTTGTCGCTCTTTCTCGCTCATCATCCGGGCCCTTGTTACCGAGTTCATGCTGCAGACACAGCATCGCTACTTCACCAGTCTTCTACGGCTATGTGCAATTCAGGGAGGGTTTTGCATCGTGCTACACCCCAAGCCCGATGGTCTGGGCATCCGAGGTCTGACTTTGGTTACACGATAAGAGATCATGTTGCGATCTAGGGCCAACGACATCTGCTTCCTGTAACTGTGCGCCTTCTCAGCCAGTTTGGGCACCCCCTGCCACCTCTGAGACTTGCTTCTTCACCCGCCTGGCACATCTGCAAGCTGCAAGTGAGGCCAACTTAGCTTGTCAAATAGCAGAACTGCCTCAAGTACTCAGTCTTGTCGGTGGAAAATAGTCGGTAGGGCTCCTCCTGACAGAAAACCCATCTGCGCAGGAGCATGCCGGCTACATTGTGTTCACTTCCCACCCAGTTTCCTGTGCTGGCGACGCAGCGTTTGGGTTGTCCAGGAGGTCCTGGGCAGGTCAGCCTAACCACGATCGCCTCTGACCGCCTTGCCTCGCACTTGAACTGAGGGCGTGGCCTGAATACCTAGCAGGATCTGGCGGATCGTGATGGCTGGCTTCCAGTCCTCCAGCTCCGCATTGGGGTTGTATAGGGGTTATACTGGGGTTATGTAGGAATAGAAGTACTATGATAGGGTATATATCAGGGTTATAATAGGGTATGTACATAGGGCTTTATAGGGATAATGAAAAGAAAACAGAAACTACTACAATAAATGGGGCTATATGGTCTGAGATACAAACCCTCAAGCACAGTGGCAGGCCGCGCCTCATCCTCATTTAGGATACTAAGGCAAACAGTTCCGGAAGGGTACACGTTCGGGTGGAACAGTGGCTTGCCGTGAACCTGGCAGATCACAATCTTATCCCGGCTTGATTGGGAAATGAGGGAGTGCAAGAGGACATGGAAGCTGCAATCTACGGTTTAGGGGTGTAGGGCTTTGGCTATTAGTATAGGCACTATGACAAAAGACTAGTATAGGGATTCACTCTCCCTTTCCCGCTGGTGTGCAAGTAAGCTATGCATTCTTTTCTCTAATGAAATAAACCTGCGGCATCATGAAAACCCAAGGGAAAACATGACAGAAGTGGTAGTCACAGCCTCAACATTGATTGCGTGAGAACGCTTCTGCTATTCATCATCGGCATAACAACATGCCAACATCAGCATCATTGCCGCCCTCTTGGTCATAGAAGGAGAAGCAGTAGCAGCAGTAGCAGCAGTTGTAGCAGTAGCAGCAGTAGTAGCACTAGCAGCAGCCACAGCAGCAGCAGCTGTAGTAAACGTAGTCTTAGTAGTGGTGGGCGTCATAGCAACAGTAGCGCTAGCGGCAGCATGCTATGCCCTGACCTCAAAACACGCGGGCTGGGCCTGTGCAAACTTGCACTTTGGCGGCTTTGAGGGATAGTCCTCGGTGAACTCCATGGTGAGTGCGTAGGTTGCGCCCTGCGGAGTATGGGCGTTTCTGAGTTTTTGCGGTATCCTGAATAAGTGGGGATCATGAGGAAAATGGGATCCTCTTTCAGGATCTTTTGCGGTGCTTTTTGACAAGCTTAGAGGCCTCACACATTGGGCAACACGGCCTCAAGCATGGGTATTTCTATTCTAAGCCACGGAAAGAATACCAATACTTTTCAGGAAAGACAGCAAGTCTCATTTAGGAATAGCATGGCGCAACCTCAGCACAAATGGTTCTGTTTCAGGGCTGCGGGAGCAAGACTATGTGGGGGTTTCCGAAAATTAGGTGTACCATTTGGGGGCCCCCATAAGAAGGAGTATAGTGTCTATATTGGGGTCCTCCTATTTATGGAAACTACCATGTAATTTGTAGTCTAAACTCCTAGTATCCCCCTTAATAAGCCCTAGAGTAATCCCCTACATAATCCCCTATACAACCCCCTTTAAGGAGCTTAGACTATGGTTCATGTAAGTTGAAGGGCAGGGCTGGCACTCTGACGTCGTTACCACCCTCAACTTCTCAGCCCTCAACCTACTGAAACTCCTTGCAGAATAGCTTCTGTTACGCCCAACCCGAACTCCTAAACTCCAATCCCCCAAGGAAAGCATAAACCCTAGACCCTGAACGCAATCCCAAACCCATGAACCCAAAACCCTAAACAACACCACCCCTGAACCCTCATCCCTCAACCCCAAATCCTAAACCCCAATTCCTATACCCAAAACCCTTAACACCCCTAAAACCCTAAACCCTAAACCCTTACAGCCCTAAACCCTTAAAATCCCTAAACCCCTAAACCCTAAATTACCCTAATCCCTCAACCCTAATCTGTCATGCAAGGCAAGGAGGCCTCCCAGGGACCTTTGGCCCGCCCTGGAATTCCACAGTTCCACTTGAAGACCTTCAGGCTTAGTCTTGGGGTTTAGGGTTTAGGGTTTAGTTGAAGACCTTCAGGGTTAGTCTGGGGGTTTAGGGTTTAGGGTAAAGACCTTCAGGGTTAGTCTTGGGGTTTAAGGTTTAGGGTTTAGGGTGAAGACCTTCAGGGTTAGTCTTAGGGTTGGTAAGGCTCACTCTTTAACAAAAATGGGGTCTCCCCTGGTACCTTTCTGGGGGTTCCTATAATAAGGACTACAGTATATTGGGGTCTATGTTGGGGTCCCCCTATTTTGGGAAACTACCACATGTTTGGGAGGTAGGGTCTTAGGCTTCAGGGTTCATACGGTTTTCGGGGTTTGTCAGGCTTAGGGTTCTGCAGGCTGAGGCGAGTATGAGTTCATGGCTTATCTTTCGGGCTTCGGACTTTGGATGTTCAGGGCTTGGGGCTAATGAGAACTGGGTTTGAGTATCCAAGGTTGGGGTTCGGGTTTTCGGGTTTTTTTTGCTTAGAGATCCATCAGAATGAGGTGTTCTAGGGGTTAGAAATCAGACGAATCATATGCTTCATTGAAAAATGTGAAGGTTGGAGCGTTAAGGCTTTCAGATATGCATATATATATATACATATATAGATATAGACACTTGTAAACAACACAGAATGCAGAGCGTGGGCTTGGCCAGCGGCGTTCTGTCCCTTTCCGTCTTCATTAGGCGCATACCTGGGACAAGGTGCAAGGCTCTCCAAGGCCCCAGCCAGGCTTAGGGTTCAGGATGCTTCAGAGCGAATTATCTACTGAATATCATCCTAGGACGATCCTAAACCCTAAACAACCCTAAACCTAACCCTAAACCTTTGGGCCCTAAACCCGAAGTAGCCCCCAAACCCTGAACCCTAAATAACCAAAATCCTAAACCCTAAACAACCCTAAACGCGCAACCCTAAACCTTTGGGACGACTTCCCCTCGTCAGTGGCAAGAAAGCCCAGGTGGCGCACTTTGCGTAGAAGCCAAAAGGATGGTCTTTTTTGAAGGCTGCGCGCTCCTGGACAGCTTCTGCATGGAGGGTTTAGGGATTAGGGATTAAGGTTTAGGGATTAAGGTTTAGGTTTTGAGATTAGGAAAAATAGGGGTAGCCTCTTCAGGGCTTCCTTAAGGGGGTTTGGGGTTCAGGGTTTAAGGTTTAGGGCTTAGGGTTTAGAGCTCAGGGTTTAGGGTGTAAGGTTTAAGGTTTAGGGTTTTGGGAACATAGGGGTAGCTTTTGCCAGGGTTCGATAAAAAAAGAATGTGGTATATTGGGGGTCTATACTGGGCCATACTGGGTTTCCCCTATTTTGGGAAACTCCCCAATCAAGGCATGCAGCTTTACATGCACAAACCCCCTAGAGGATCCAAGAAATGGAACCCTTAGTAATTTCCTAGTTACCCCAATGTAGTAATGGGTTCATATTGGGGGGGTTCCATTTTTTGGGATCCTTTAGGGGGTCTGGTATGCACAAACTAGCCAGTTGAGGCATACGGGTGGAAAGCTCTCCCCCTTAGGGGCTGACCTCAAGGCATCCTAGCCCTACAGTCCCCCTTAAGCGGATAGAATATGCATTTGACCATAAACATACTGCGATCCCCATATATCTTGGGTACTGCCCCCCCAGTAACAGTCTATATTAAGGGTCCTAATAAGGGCCATATATAACCATTATTATCCAACTGTTACTGAGGGGGGGGAGTACCCAACACATGTTCCATATTCTATCTACTTAAAGGGGACTACACCTCTTCGGACTGCGAAGGGAAGATGGGATCGACCCTTGGGACCGCGCAGGGAGACGCCCCTATGTTGTATTGAAGGCGCATCAGGTAGGGGGCTTGGAAAACCCTTTTTGGGGCTCTCTTTTATATTTTGGGGGGGATTATTATGACCAGGACACCCATCTTTTGTTTGTGAGATGCCCACCCTAAACCCAAAACCCACATCACTCTGAGGACGCCGCCTGCGCGAGTCTCTTTGATGCAAAGCTGGCCATTTCTGCGGCGATGCCTCTTCTCTTTGAAGGGCCTCAAGCCTTCAGCGACACTGAAGCAGCAAAGCACAGAGCCCGGCAAAAACTGGGTTGCTGCTAAAAAGCTTAAATCAAGTTACTATAATAAGGAAGCCCTATGATATATCCATATTATGGGGACTTAATTTAGGTCCTGAACAGCAACCCAGAAAAAAGTCATGCAAAACCCGAAGCTGGCTCGTTCGGCTTGGCTTCCGACACCTGCACCGCAGATCTCTGCCCCCCCAAAACCAGGTACTGAAGGCAAAAAATGGCAGCGGATGGCCGTGCACTCAAGTGGTAATTTCCCTAAATAGGGGGAACCCAATAGAGACCCCAACATACTGTAGTGTTTCTTTATTTTGAAAAACCCAAAAAAGTACCCCTAATTTTGCGGAGGAACCCCCCAAGCAATTTTGAACTGCAACCAGCAGACTTCGCGAGTCTTGCGCCTAGCAACACGAAAAATCTGCTCACCCCTCTTTTTTCCAGCTTTGCTTGCCGGAAGCTATGCAATTGAACAGACTACCCTACTTACCGGTGGTTCGTAGGGAATAAGGGAATACAATCCCTATATAGACCCGAAATGCCTATATAGTACATTCCCTTATTCCGTACTGACCCCCAGTAAGCCTACAGTTGAAAGGCAGCATCAAGGTATTCTAAGCCGCCGTGTTGGCAGGAATGTCATGGATCACGATCTTTGCGTACCTCACACATGCGAAGCAGCACGGCAAACGCTTCAAGTCCTCACATTGCAATCATTGCCTCATGTTTCACAATGTTGAATTGCTTCTTCTTGGCATAATCACCTCCCCCGAGTATCCAACCCCCCACCCCCTAATAACAAATACTCCCCTGCCAGTATGTAATGGTACTACTTTCGATCATATGTAGTCTTGGTCGGGTGGGACGCGGGGTCAGCGGGCAAGATGAGCCAATTACTTGTATTGACAAGGTCACTAATTATCATTCACACCATCATCTTCATCATCCTCATGACCATTGGGACGTCTCTTCCCCAAAGCATTGGTTGCTGCTCCTGGTCTTATCATGATCTGAAGAATGTAGCTGTACCACGAAGCATTGGCAGTAGCTGCGCACGCCGCTGCAAAGTCGCCACCCTCGTGGAGCGCCGGCTTGTCGATGAACTTCCGCACGAAAAGGAAGTCCTGGGCTCAGGGTATGGTTTTGTGTTAGTTGAGGGTGTAACGGTGTAACGTTTACGGCACCCTGTCTCAAAGTACACGACCATCCACACTTACCGCAGTTATGTAGGGTACCCCGTCGAGTGGCTGAGTTCCGAATTGCTTGGATGCCCTTGGTGGAGATCGTATCCCACCACCCAGGCCTGCCGGAACAAGCTGAACAGTAAGGACCATGTGAGCTATAGTCTAAACTCCTTAAAGGGGGTTATATAGGGGATTATATAGGGTATTTTAGGGCTTCTTCTAAAAATCCCTATATAACCCCCATAATCCTATATACCCCCTATAATAATCCCTATATGAGCTATAGTCTGAACTCCTAGTATCCCCATTAATAATGGACAATCAAATGGAAAAGAAAATGGGAAATGAAATGGAAACTGCTATATATAGGGTTATGTAGGGGATTATAGGGGTTATAGTCTCCTAGTATTCCCCTTAATAGCCCCTATAGTAGCCCCCTATAGAATCCCCTATATATAACACCCTTGAAGGAGTTTAGACTAAGGACCATGTGGCAGAGAGGAGATGGTATCCGGGTCCATCGGCGCGGCTTCGCTTATAGCAAGGTCTCTTCTATCTATTTTCCTATTTACCTATCTACCTATCCATCTGCATTTGTGTGTATATATATATATCCATATATATATATATATACGCGCGCGCGCGCGTGTGTGTGTGTGGGTGTGGGTGTGGGTGTGGGTGTGGGTGTGGGTGTGGGTGTGGGTGTGGGTGTGGGTGTGGGTGTGGGTGTGGGTGTGGGTGTGGGTGTGGGTGTGCGTGTGCGTGTGCGTGTGCGTG